CATTGGCTCTTAATAACAATAGAGGTAATAATAATTATACTAATAGCAATAATAACAACAATTATTGAATTGATTGTAATCCTGTTTGGCGAAAAAACCCAAATAAATGCGATCACTGTGATAATTTGCGCTCACATCGAATGACACTTTCAAGGAAATTTTTTTCTTTCTAGGAAAATAAGGACACTGTATTACTGCCGCTTTCATTTACCTGGTAAAAATATTAGCAATAATTGTAATTTTGATAATAACAATAATAGAAAAAACAACAATAATACTAACAATAATAATAATAGTAGTAATAGTACTGACAATGACGATGACAATGAAAGGCCTATGATAGTGACCATAATAATTCAACCCTACTATCTTAAGATATTTCAAATATTTCAACAAGTATCTGATGAGGTGCGAGCTCGCCTTGCTACAGGCGTTGTGTTCCTCTATGTTAGAGGATCCCCCGAAGGATCACCACCATGCCGTGGTCGGCGGGCTTGAGTGCCTTGGAGACCCCTAAAGCTATGCCAGCGGGAGCTTCGTCTCCTAGTAGGGCCACCCAAGCCGGACAGGTTGAAGGCTAGAGGCCCGACGAAGCGCGATCCATCGGTCCTCCAGTTTAGGGGGTTGGGCACAGGGATAACAACCCTGTCCCGTAAAACACCTATGTTACGGAAACGGCAAAACAAAAGCCGCCCTACGTGCCACACGGCATAATAGGCATAAGTGAGTGAGTGATGCTAGAGGATGCTTTAATGCCTCACCAGTAAACACCATGTCTTCTTAGATCGCTCGTGCCTCTATTTAAAATCAGGTATCCTGAGGCTCGAGGCAAAGTCATCATAATTTGTGAATACTATGTTCCAAAAACACCTCTTATGATGGACATGCTTTGTAGGTGAATCCGCATCGGTGCATCACTTTTCAAAAGCCAAACTCGATCATCCCTAAAACTTACTTACATAAAGGAAGGATGGTTCCTTGAAAATCCGATATCAAGTTCTTATATCTTAAATCCTAAATGTACTTCCATGAAATTATGTGTACCACGTTTCTCCGTGACAGTAGGGCTGAAACGGTTAATGAAGAGTTATGGAGTCAAACCGAATTAATTAAATTTGGGTTAAGTTGTGATCACGCCTCATACCGGTTCATAAATTCACGAATCACGCTCGCCATTCTGTAAAATGCACACGTCACATTAATTTTGGCTTTAATCACGCGTTCCGTCAAAACCCTTTTGCTAATTATCACAATTGTGTTGAAATCCGATTATCCTGTTCATAATTAATAACGAGTCATGCTTTGATAATTTTTGCACAATTAACAGTCATCTTCGTAAAGGTAGACTTTCGTTACTATAGCTTGTAATTAAGTTTTGGCAGTTTAGCTAACTCTATTGCGTTTAGGATCAGTTGCGATTAACCCTTTAACTCCCAAGATCTCATTAGTAATTCTCCTTACTGTCTGCCATTCAGTTCTTGTGATGTTGGTTTGGAGAATTTGGTATTGGATCAATTCATAATCCCCTAATTGATATTTACCTTTATTCTCATCACTTTTCTGCTTGATATT